CCCAGGCTGGAGTGCAATGGCGCGATCTCGGCTCACCGCAACCTCCGCCTCCTGGGTTCAGGCAATTCTCCTGCCTCAGCCTCCTGAGTAGCTGGGATTACAGGCACGCGCCACCATGCCCAGCTAATTTTTTGTAGTTTTAGTAGAGACGGGGTTTCACCGCGTTGACCAGGATGGTCTCGATCTCTTGACCTCGTGATCCACCCGCCTCGGCCTCCCAAAGTGCTGGGATTACAGGCTTGAGCCACCGCGCCCGGCACTTACAAGCACCTTAGAATGTCACTTCTAAGAGGCTCATGAACCCCAAGTTATCTTGGGACCTCAAGAGGAGAGGAATTTACCCAACTCATATTTGAGTATTTGAGGGTACAAACCCATGGCTGGGCTTGACTTTTAAAATGTCTTATCTGAGATTCTTCATGAAACAGAGTTCAAGCAAAGCCAATTTAAAAAGGCTAAGTGAAAAATAATTATTCTTGCCACACATTATGCAAATAATCAGGCCATATACAGTAAGACTAAAGTTTATTTTGTAAACAAATCAGTTCTATTAAGATTTTTTTTTTAATAAAAATAGGGAATGGAGATAGAAAAATTATGCTTCAAAAGAAAAACTATAGTACACTGTTGTTAGCTGTTCTTGAGGTTTCTTTTGCAGTTTAGACTAAATTTTAAATTCTTTGTGGGTTAGAAGTCCCCAAACTAATGCTTTCAAATCTTTGCTTTTAAAATTGGGAATTGTACTCCTCATCCCAGGACTCATTATTTACCTTAGAAGGTAAAATTGAAAATAAATAAATAAATAAGGAAAAAAAGAAAAAGGGCCGGGCGTGGTGGCTCATGCCTGTAATCCAAGCACTTTGGAGGCCAAGACGAGCGGATCACCTGTGGTCGGGAGTTCAAGACCAGCCTGACCAACATGGTGAAACCCCGTCTTATATTAAAAAAAAAAAAAAAAGAAAAAGGTAAAATTGGCTGTTCACTTGAACACTGTAGTAAAACTATAGATGAGAGTACTAATGTTTCTGCCATGCAAGCTTTAGAAGCTCAACCAGGCCTGCATGAGTATGCTCTCAGACAATTGCAAAGCAGTTCCACTCTTCTCACCTTAGGGTTCACTCCCATTCCCACTAAGTGCTCTGTCAGCAGGAAGAAGCCAGAGTGATCAATGGCCTTTTCCCATGTTCATAGCCTACACCTTAAGATTAAGGTGTTACATAACTCAAAGGGAGAGATTGAAACTGTCTTTGCAAAATTATGACAGACAGTGAAAGAAATCTAACTTGACTGACTCCATCTTGCTTCTAACCTCCAAGCTGTACTCATTCACTCCTGGGCATAGGCTGAACTAACCTTGGGAGAAACTTAGTTTATAGTTTAAAGAAAGATGGTAACAACCCTTTCCCAAAGTAGACCTCCTTCCTGCCTGGGGACAAGATTGTCTTTGTAGGACTAACATTGGCCACAAGATTAGAAATTATGGTTTAGGAGTCATGTAGCTGGAGGCTACAAGATTCTGACCCTCCCTAAACTGCTCATAAGTGTTTAAGATACTTTGCAGAGCCTGCACTTGATGAATCACCTGGCACCCCCCAGATCAATGAACTAGCTCATCTGAAACTTGTGGCCCCCACCCAGGAACTGACAAGAAAACAGCTTCAACTCCCTGATTTCATCTCTGACCAATTAGCACTCCTGCCTCACTGGCTTCCCCCTACCCTTAAAAACTCTGCTCCCAGGTCAGGTAAGGTGGCTCACGCCTGTAATCCCAGCACTTTGGGAGGCCGATTCAGGTGGATCACCTGAGGTCAGGAGTTCGAGACCATCCTGGCCAACATGGTGAAACCCTCCGTCTCTACCGAAAATAGAAAAATCAGCCTAGTGTGGTGGCACATGCCTGTAATCCCCAGCTACTTGGGAGGCCGAGGCAGGAGAATTGCTCAAACGCTGGAGGCAGAGGTTGCAGCCAGCTGAGATTGCACCACTGCACTCCAGCCTGGGTGATATCTCAAAAATGCACAAACAAAACAAACAAAAAGCTCTGCTCCCCCAGTGCTCAGGGAGATTGATTTGAGTAATAAAACTCTGGTCTCCTGCATAGTGGGCTCTGCGTGAACTACTTTTTCTCTATTGCAATTCCCCTGTCTTGATGAATGGGCTCTGTCCAGGCAGCGAGCAAGGTGAACCCCTTGGGCAGTTACAGTTTCACCATGTTGGCCAGGCTGATCTTGAACTCCTGACTTCAGGTGATCCGCCTACCTCAGCCTCCCAAAGTGCTGGAATTACAGGCATGAGCCACCACACCTAGCCATGCATCACATTTTTATTTGTAAAAGTAAAAACCATGGAAACAACATCAGTATCTAGCAATAGGATGCTACATGAATTAGAATTATCATACATTTGAGTGATGCTAAAATTTTATTCAATCATTAAAAATGATTGTGTAGGGCTGAGCATGGTGGCTCATGCCTATAATCCCAATGCTTTGGCAGGCTGAGGCAGGAGGATCGATTGAGCCTAGGAGTTCAAGGCCAGCCTGGGAAACCCCATCTCTACAGAAAATAAAACGGATGTGGTGACACGTGCCTGTAGTCACAGCTACTTGAGAGGCTGAGGTGGAAAGACCACTTGAGCCCACGAGGTCGAGGCTGCAGAGGAAGACCCTGTGGTCTCAAAAAAAAAAAAAAAAACAATGTGTAGGGCTGGGCTCTGTGGCTCATGCCTGTAATCTCAACATTTTGGGAGGCCAACGTGGAAGGATGCCTTGAATCCAGGAGTTAGGGATCAGCCTGGACAACATCACAGGCTCTGTCTCCACAAAAAATAAAAAAAAGCCAGGCATGGTGGCATGTGCCTGTGATCCTGGCTACTCTGGAGGCTGAGGTGAAGGATCACTTGAGTGAGACTTTGTCTCTAAACAAAACTAAACTCTGTGTGTGTGTGTGTGTGTGTGTGTGTGTGTGTGTGTGCGCGTGCGCGCGCGCGCACGCGTGCACTTACAGTGCTAAACAACTTTAAGTGTGACACAACATTGCAAAATATTCCAGGCAGCAGAACAATTGTTAAGAGCCTGGGCTCTAGAAATTAATGCCTATGTTTGAGTCCTGGCTCTTCACTCACTAGCTGTATACTCTTGGGCAAGTTACTTACCTTCCCTGCACCTCAATGTCACCATTTATAGCATGGGGACTCATATCTAGTCCGTAGTGTTGCTGTAAAGATTAAATGAATTAATAAAAGTGGAGGGCAGTGTCTATCATCTAGTAAACAGCCAACAAATATTGGTCATTGTTACAGAAAATTGGAGGAGGGGAAAATCATATCTAGCTGAGAATGGATCAGGAAAGGCTTTATGGAGGAGGTGACATTGAAGAAAAGGTTTAATGCTAATGAAGAGTGATGGTCGGGCGGCGGGGGGCAGGGGGGGGGGGGGGAGGGTCAAAAGATAGGGAGTTAAAGATAGAGGAGGTGGAAAGGCTTAAGTTGTGTGGGGTCATGAGTGGAGAGATGAGGGGCGGCATGTGGCAGTGGGAGCTATTGAAAACTAAACCTCCAAAGAGAGACAGAGGTCAAAACGTGGAGGGCCTTGAATGCCAAATTTAAAACTGGAGTTAATCACTGACTATGAGAGTCATTAAAGAGAGAGTTGGGTTGGGCAAGGTGGCTCACATCTGTAATCCCAGCACTTTGGGAGGCTGAGGTGGGTGGATCATGAGGTCAGGAGTTCGAGACCAGCCTGGCCAACATGATGAAACCCCATCTCTACTAAAGATACAAAAAATTATCTCTGCGTGGTGCTGGATGTCTGTAATCCCAGCTATTTGGGAGGTTGAGGCAGGAGAATCGCTTGAAAACAGAAGGTGGACGTTGCAGTGAGTCAAGATCATGCCATTGCACTCCAGCCTGGGCAACAGGGCGGCACTCCATCTCAAAAAAAAAAAGAAAAAAAGAAAAATAATAATGAAATAAAGAGTAATTCTCTTCTTTGTGGAAGAGAAAAAGAAAGCCCTCTTTGGCAGCATTGAAGACTGACAACTTTCCGGTTTTATCCTTGAGTGTTACCAACTTCAGAAACAACTCTCTGAGGACTAATATTTCGATTTAGGGAAAGGAAAGGGGGACAGAAAGGAAGAGATGGAAAAAGGGAGTGAATAACTGAAGGATGATAAGTGAGAGGGGGAGATGAAAAGTGAGCCCTATGGGAAGGCGGCAGCAAAGGCTCTCTTCCCTAATTCCTCATTCCTGGGGTCACTTGGTGACTGAACTAATATATAACCTACCTTCTCCTCATTTAAGATTTGAAGTTTCTGTCTTTAGTTTAGGGCTTCATTTAAGTTCGAGACTGTCCTTTTGGCCTGTGAGCACACGTAGGGCATTAGGACCCAGCGATTGTTGTAGTGAGAGTGGTTGAATCTCGGTCTCTCAATTTTTCTCTCGAGCTCCCTCCTCTCCCTTTGTCATTCTAGCTGCCTGCTGCCTCCGCAGCGTCCCCCCAGCTCTCCCTGTGCTAACTGCCTGCGCCTTGGACAGAGCGGGTGCGCAAATCAGAAGGATTAGTTGGGACCTGCCTTGGCAACCCCATGGCATCCCCCAGAACCATAACTATTGTGGCCCTCTCAGTGGCCCTGGGACTCTTCTTTGTTTTCATGGGGACTATCAAGTTGACCCCCAGACTCAGCAAGGATGCCTACAGTGAGATGGTAAGTAAAGCAAACGGGTGATGAGGAGTGCATTCCCATGGGATTGCGAGGACCTCTCCCCTTTTTTCCTTCTCAGTCTCTGGTCCCATCCCCTTAGACCCTATCCCCACCTGGACCCTCCCTTCTCAACAACTTTGCAGCTCGGGAGGAGCAGCTGGACAAGAGCGATTTCGTTTGTGGGCTATGCTGCTCTGGAGCCACTGAATGCCAGTTGGGGGAGGGGTTGCCCTGCGAATACCCCCCACCCCAAGTAAACCAGAAGGCTGAGACCTGCTAGCACCTGTCACTGGCAGGAATCCTTCCCTCCTTGCAGCACGCACCCAAAGTCCAGGCAACCAGTCTACAAGTCTGATTCCCTCCCTGTGAGCTAAGAGTTTAGCAAGCGGAGAGTTTATTTATTTTAGAGCAGAACAAAGGGGAAAGAGGGAAAGAGCTGGGAAAAATGGGCTACTAAAAGAAGCAATTTCTAGGGGCCGAATGGTATTCCTCATCCCAGGCAGACAGCTGATAGTATTCCTCCAGCCACCTGGGTATGTAACTGGATCCTTGAGACAAAACATTCTTCGCCCAAATAAAGGTCACTAAGCTCTTGCTTCCCCTTCTCTCAAGGGAGAGCTAGGTGTTTTGTTTTATCTTTTTTGTGTGTAGGGTAATTACGAAATCCTCAAAGTCTGCTTTTTCTCTCCTGCAAAACAGTCCGTAATCCCCACCTTCCTTTCTGTGGATGTCCAGAACCAGGCCCTCTGCAGGTTTTCCCCTCTGCAGAGTTGGAATCACCGAAGGTGACTGGCCAAAACATCTCCTCTGCAACCTGGGGGCTGGGCTGCTTTCCCCAGTTGGGCGTGATGAGGACTTGCTCTTATGCTGTGGAGTACTAGGAGATGGCAGGGAATGTTTCCAGCACTTTCAGGTCTCTCCCCTCTCCCCCTGTCACTTTGCTTCTTCTTTTCCCCACCCCAGCTGAAGGGACCCTGCTTCTCATTGCCTTTGCTAGACCGTCAGTAATGGGAGGGAGCACATTAATGGGCTCTCAAGGTCAAGAGAGAAAGGAGCTTAGGGGAGGAACAGAAGGAGAGAGAGAAAAGAGGCATGCCCGGTAAGGGCTGAGGCAGGGAGGGACAGCCTCACACATTGCGAGGAATTCATAGCTCTCCTGAACCCACTGCAGCGCTTTCCAGGGCCCCTTAACGTGAGCTGCAAATGCATGGAGACTGGCAAATTATATTAATAGATGCTCAGAAAATGTTTGCAGGCAGCTCTGGCTTCTGTCTCAGGGTTTAAGCTGGAGCTTTCTATTTCTTCCTCACCACAGGATCACCCTAGGGTGGGGGAGGGTGGCTAGGAGTCGAGGGCTTAGGTCTAGCCCCAGTGGCAAATCTTTACATGCTTCTCCTTCTCCCTTCCCCTCCTCCCAGCATGTTTGACCAGATGGAATTGAAATCAGGTCAAAATGAGTACCCGAGGCAGCCTGCACTGGGAGAAGAGGGGCGGGGTGGGGTAGCAGAAGCCACCAAATGGCTTGAAGAGGTTGGGAAAGAGGGACAGGGTGGAGGGGAAAGGCCACTAGATATCTGTCTTGGTGGTAGTAGTTTGGTGTTAGATTATGACTAAATGAATATGGTCTTGCTTTACTTTTCATATGTACATATATTTATATATTTGTGTGTGTGCACCATAGGTATTTGTAAGCTTTCCCTAGCCTTAGGGACACACTACCTTTCTTCAGTATATTCCCTGCCCTCCAGACCCTAGTCAGCTGCTTCAGAGGCACCCCAAGCTGCACCCTAAGTACAGTGTTAGGCTCTGCAGGCAATCCGACTAAGATGGAGTCACCGGGAAGCTTCCTACCAGCTTGGCAGGAGCTCACGAGGACCAGCCACAAATGGGTTTACAGTATGTTTCTTCCTAGAAATGGAGCTGCCTAGTGCAGCCCAATGAAAAGCAGAAGAAACAAATATGAAGATTTCATATCACACATAGGAACGTATTTAAATAGATATAATGTAACACAGCAATATAGAACCATTGTGTGTGGGTGTGTATGCACACTTCTGCACTTCTGTGCTAGGGGCATCTAGAGGGAATGGAAAGATTGTATCTAACTGAGAAGTAGAAGTCACAGTAGTTTGAGGAGGGTTTTCAGACTGCCCTTTTTCAGGGTCCCTTCCTGCATCGAGCATCAGGCCATAGATTGGAGACTGCTCTCTGGCATAGAGCCTACTGCACAGTGCCTGGGCTTGGCCCAGTTTTATTCTCATTCCCATAGGAAATGGAGGGAAATTCAGTTCTAGTACAGAGAAGGTACTCAATATATGTTTGTGGAGTGGATGGGTGAATGAATGAGTCATTGTAGCATTGCCTTGGCTTGTTACCACTCTTCAGATTTCTCTGGTTGGCTCTTGATTATGCAGTTCAGGAATATGTCTTGCTTCTTAGAGGGGCTCTCTAAGAAGCCTCTCTCTAAGAGGGAGAGTCTCCAAGAACCCCTAGATCAGTTGTGATGATTATCTGGGATTTTCTGTTTTCCATTAAGGAGTGATTCCTCTGCATCGAGGAGGTTAGTCATGTATTGACTGCAGTGGCATTTCTTACAAGATCTCAAAGCGTTGTTGCTGCTATTGTTGTTTTAAGATTATTTGTTCTTTAGAACATCTCTGTGAGGTATATTTCGTGAATTAGTTATTTTTTTTGTTTGTTTTGAGACGGAGTTTCACTCATGTTACCCAGGCTGGAGTGCAATGGCGCGATCTTGGCTCACCGCAACCTCCGCCTCCTGGGTTCAGGCAATTCTCCTGCCTCAGCTTCCTGAGTAGCTGGGATTACAGGCACGCACCACCATGCCCAGCTAATTTTTTGTATTTTTAGTAGAGACGGGGTTTCACCATGTTGACCAGGATGGTCTCTATCTCTTGACCTCGTGATCCACCCGCCTCGGCCTCCCAAAGTGCTGGGATTACAGACTTGAGCCACCGCGCCCGGCGTGTATGAGTTATTTTTATTTTACTGATGAATAAACTGAAGCAGAACAAGTTTAATGACATACCCAAGGCCAGGAAGGCAAGCTGTTGTTGGAGCAGAGATGAGAAACCAAGTCCGTGACTCAATACTCCCAATAGAAAGATCATTAATGATTAAAACTGTTGGGATTTTATGGATGCCAGAATGGAGAACTGATTCTTGAGAATACCTGGTACATTCTTCCTCCTTTTATTGTACCAGTTTAACTGCCAAATCCATATTGTAAGTTTTGTTTTACTTCAAAATCAATTTTTTAAATTTTAGAGTTTTGATTTGATTTGGTTTCTCTTTTCCTTTCTCTCTCTCTCTTTTTTTCTGCTTTTCTGCCAACTATTTTTTTTTCTTGTTTTAAAATCATTTGTGTCATTCTTAGGTGTTATCTTCTCCATGGAGAATCATTGCTAAAAAAACAAACAAATAACTGTGAACTTTTCTCCTACTTCTACTGGGGAAGTCAGGAAGGGTTAGTGGAAAGAGTGCAGGCTTTTTTTTAGCAATGATTCTCCATGGAGACGGTGTTTCATTCTTGTTACCCAGGCTGGAGTGCAATGGCGCGATCTCGGCTCACCGCAACCTCCGCCTCCTGGGTTCAGGCAATTCTCCTGCCTCAGCCTCCTGAGTAGCTGGGACTACAGGCATGCGCCACCATGCCCAGCTAATTTTTTTGTATTTTTAGTAGAGACGGGGTTTCACCATGTTGACCAGGATGGTCTCGATCTCTTGACCTCGTGATCCACCTGCCTCGGCCTCCCACAGTGCTGGGATTACAGGCTTGAGCCACCGCGCCCGGCCAAGTGATTCTATTTTATGCAGTGGTTTCTTAACTGATTTAAATAGCCAGTTTAAAGGATTGAAATCAAGCATTTATTTATTTATTTATTTTTGAGATGGCGTTTCATTCTTTTTGCCCAGGCTGGAGTGCAATGGTGCGATCTCAGCTCAGTGAAACCTCTGTCTCCGAGGTTCAAGCAATTCTCCTGCCTCAGCCTCCGGAGTAGCTGGGATTACAGGTGCCCGCCACCACGCCTGGCTAATTTTTATATTTTTAGTAAAGATAGGGTTTCACCATATTGGTCAGGCTGGTCTTGAACTCCTGACCTCAGGTGATCCATCCACCTGAGCCTCCCAAAGTGCTAGGTTTACAGGCATGAGCCACCACCCCTGGCCTGAAATCAAGCATTTATAAGAACAAGATGATATTTTTATGTGCCCTGTGGACAGACCTGTATGCCATCAGCTAATATTGAAAAATGCACACTTGCCACTGTGTAAGGTACAGTGGATCTCATGCAGAACTTCCAGATGCATCTCTGAATAGCCCATTTGGCATGTGTTGTCCCATACCTCCTCCAGATTTAGCAAGTATCATTATAGAGTACTCTAAATCCCACGTGAATTCAACACGACTGGCCACTCCCTTGACTAAATGCCTTTATTAGTTCACTTAAAATTGGGAGACAGCCCTTAAAAGTGCTGGGATGCAGTGACTAGGAACATGTAAATAGTTGGTTTGCTTTAAATTTGGTGTTCAGCTTTTTGTAGTAGTGGCTTCATCCTATAAGCACAAGGGTCCACATATGAAAAGGTAAGAAAACACCAAAATCCTGCTCAAAATAAAGCCAAGAGATTTTAGTCCTGAGGATGACTGGGCAAGTCTCTGATTCTTTGTATCCCCTCATAGTAAAGGTTTGTTGATTTGATTTATTTGTTCATATGTAGTTAAATGCCCTTCTGTTTATGTAATCCTGAGGAAACACTCCCAATATATTTGGGCTGTTTATTTAATGTTCACAGGTAATCTTTTAAGCTTCCAGTCGCTGCTATTACTTGCTTTCCAACTAGGTAATAAGATAGTAATTTACTGATGCTTAGACTGCTCTCTGAGGTGGTACAGTATGTTTATATTCAGAGGAAACTGAGACCCTGAGATGTGAAGCAGCTTTGCTTAGTTCACACAGCCTGCCATCACAAGCTAAACTACA